TGACTTTGTACAGGCTTTCAAATCATTTCATGTTGGCCAACGACTTTTGGAAGACCTAAGAGTTCCATATGATAAAAGAGCAGCCCATCCTGCTGCCTTGGTGAAGGAAAAGTATGGAATATCGAATATGGACCTCTTCAAGGCATGCTTTGCAAGAGAATTGCTGCTGATGCAGCGTAGCTCTTTTATATACATATTCAAAACTACCCAGATAACAATTATGGCAACAATTGCTTTCACGGTATTCTTAAGGACAACAATGAAATATGGGGAACAAGTGGATTCGGCAAGGTTTTGGGGAGCACTATTTTTCAGTCTCAACAACGTCATGTTTAATGGAGTGGCAGAGCTTTCAATGACAGTTTTCCGGCTTCCTGTGTTCTTTAAGCAGAGGGATGCCTTGTTCTATCCTGGGTGGGCTTTTGGCTTGCCCATTTGGATAACCAGAATTCCCATTTCGCTGATGGAATCTTTTTTATGGATAGCCATAACATATTACACCATAGGATTTGCACCTGCTCCTAGTAGGTAAGTTGTAATTTATTATCACATTGTCGTCACAAGTTTTAGCTTTGTGATGCTAAATAAATGACGAAAAACGAAACAATTTAGTGGTGGTTCTTCTATCTGACATGTGTCCAATATTATCAGGTTCTTCAAACAGTTCTTGGCTTTCTTTGGTATACATCAGATGGCAGTCTCCCTCTTCCGTTTCATTGCTGCCCTTGGTAGAAGTGAGGTTCTTTCGGGCATAATTGGTTCCTTTACACTGCTGTTGGTTTTTCTTCTAGGAGGTTTCATTGTTGCTAAAGGTTAGAATCCTTCCCTGTTTACTGTCAAAGTATTTTGTTTCAAAGTAAGCTACTGTTGTTAGATCAATTTTTTCATATGTTTAGAAATGTTCAACATATTCTCCTTTTGGTGTGCAGATGACATTGAGCCATGGATGATATGGGGATACTATGTTTCACCTATGATGTATGGACAAAATGCAATTGCTATCAATGAATTTCTTGACGACAGATGGAGCACTGTAATTTCTCTTAAATCTCTCTCAACTAAATTCTCACTCTACATTAACAATTATAATTTTGAGTTTTACATTCAGGTTCAACTAGTGTTTTAGCTTAATCAAACTTTTTTATCCCATGGCGCAGCCTTTGAATAACTCCCGTATGCCCACTGTGGGAAAGACCCTTCTAATTTATTTATTTTCATTGGGCTATTTTTATGGTAATATGGATTGAAGCATTGATTTTTTCTTTTTCTTTTTCTTTTTCTTTTTCTAACTCAATTTTAGCTCTTGGCGAAACCAAAACTCTGATCGAGAATGATGATTCTGAAACAAAAAGGAAACAGCAATTGTCCAATTCAGAAGGTTGAAATATTATATATCTTGTGGATCTTAACTTGGATGGTTTCACTGTTTCTGCAAGATGGGATGCATTTTATATGTCTGATAAAGAATTACTTCAGCCTTTGCTAGCTGCAAATTCTAGTCTCAACTTGCATATTTCTTTTGTGTCATCACATTGGGATCGTAGTACAAATTTTACTGCAGAAACCTTACATCTGGAGTAGCAGATTAACTACATAAATAATTTTCTCGTCTCATATATGATGAACAATTGCAGGTATTGATATGCAAGTTCGAAATGCTCAAGGAAGTACTAGTTCAAATGTTAATGATGCAAGCAGTCAAGCCAAACGAGGAATGGTTATGCCCTTCCAGCCCCTTTCACTTGCTTTCAACCATGTCAATTACTATGTGGACATGCCTGTGGTAACTCGCTTTTTCTTTTTTCTCCACTGAGTTTTATATTTCTAGAGTTTATATGAGAACTTATCAAAAGAAAAGCTAACTAGAATTATAAAGTGGAACAGGCTTCAAAGGCTTAAAATTTTAGTTTTACTTCATCTTTCACAATAGTTACTTTCGATTAACTGTTGACATGAATTTATGTCTAAGAAACTATGAGCTGGATTTATTGATGACAAACACTGTCTTGTGTCAAATATGATTCTTGGTAGTAACGTTTGTGTGCTTTTCAGGAAATGAAGAGCGAAGGGATTGAAGAGACTCGACTGCAACTACTTCGAGATGTTAGTGGTGCATTTAGGCCGGGTATTCTGACTGCATTGGTTGGTGTTAGTGGTGCCGGAAAAACCACCTTGATGGATGTCTTAGCTGGAAGAAAGACTGGAGGGTACATTGAAGGAAGTATTAGTATCTCTGGATACCCAAAGAACCAAGCCACATTTACTCGGGTCAGCGGTTACTGTGAACAGAATGACATTCATTCACCATATGTTACTGTTTATGAATCTCTCGTATACTCGGCCTGGCTGCGTCTTGCGAGGAATGCTACGAAGGATAAACGAAAGGCATGTTTTTTTATTTAACAACCTCAATATTTAGCTGTTCCAACATTTAGTTTCTGACTACATGTCACTGAACTGACAATCATATTGCTCCATATAAGAACGGGATGAGATGGATGAGGTAGCTGACTCTGATTTTCTTCTTCTGTTCTTTAGATGTTTGTTGATGAGGTTATGGATTTGGTCGAGCTTAATCCGTTGAGGAATTCTTTAGTTGGACTGCCAGGAGTTGATGGACTTTCAACTGAGCAGAGAAAGAGGCTCACTATTGCTGTAGAGTTGGTTGCAAATCCATCCATCATCTTTATGGATGAGCCAACATCAGGTCTTGATGCTAGAGCAGCCGCTATTGTTATGCGTGCTGTAAGAAACACTGTCGATACAGGACGAACTGTTGCATGCACAATTCACCAACCGAGTATTGACATTTTTGAAGCTTTTGATGAGGTAGGAACAACTAATACAATTTATTGAATTTTGTAACGTTGTCATTTCATGTACCATATTTATGATTTTTTTTTTTCCTTGCAGCTTTTCTTAATGAAAAGAGGAGGGCAGGTGATTTTTGCTGGACCTCTTGGTCATCAGTCTCATGAGCTTGTTGAATATTTTGAGGTAAGTTTATACTTTACCTTGTATGTTCAGTTCCTATTAAATTATATCCAAACAGATTATACTGGAACTAAATTTGGTTAGCCTTTTTTCCCTAAATTTTCTTAGGTTAGCCCTAACTTTACTCTATCTCCTAACGACGCATTTAGACTCTGGTGCATATTGTTGAATATATTAATGATTGAATCCTCCATCTCAATGCAATTCTATGATCTTATCCAGCAAGAAATATTATCCTTGGACCCATGAGTTTTAGAGTTGCAAAGTTTGAATAATATCTTAATCCTCTTGCAGGCTATCCCTGGAGTTCCCAAGATCAAAGAAGGCTACAATCCTGCTACCTGGATGTTAGACGTCAGCTCTGCTGCAGTTGAGGCTCAAAATAACATTGACTTTGCAGAAGTATATGCAAACTCTGAGCTCTACAGGTAAGCAAGATGTATTGTATTCAATTGATTTCTATTTTCTTTTTCCCACAAACTCCTTCTTTGTATGCACAAAAATTCTTCAACAATTATTTTCAATTGTTCAGGAGAAATGAGGAACTTATCAAGGAACTAAGCATTCCACTACCTGGCTCCAATGACCTTCACTTTCCCACCCAGTTTTCTCAAAGCTTCATAGTTCAATGCAAGGCTTGCTTTTGGAAACAACACTGGTCATACTGGAGAAACTCGCGATACAATGCCATTAGGTTTTTCATTACGGCTATCATTGGCATAATCTTTGGTGTAATCTTCTGGAGCAAAGGAGACTCACTGTAAGTTTAAGAACTTCATTATGAGCAACATCTTTTGTTAATATCTTCCTTTTAATTTGTGATTATACGATTTAAGTTGCATGTTTTGTTCAATTACTTATACTGATTTTATCTTGTAAACAGACATAAACAACAAGACCTGAACAATCTTTTGGGAGCTACCTATGCTGCTGTTCTTTTCCTTGGAGCTAGCAATGCTTCTGCTGTGCAATCCGTGATTTCAATTGAGAGAACAGTTTTCTACCGTGAAAGAGCAGCGGGAATGTATTCAGAGTTGCCTTATGCATTTGCACAGGTAAGAATGGTGGAAATTATACTTGGTTTTGCGTTCATTTTTCATATAATTAAAATCTCATTATTGATGCATCTTTTGGTGTTATAGGTGGCTATTGAGACAATTTACGTTGCAATCCAAACCTTTATGTACACATGTATTCTGTATTCTATGATTGGGTACACTTGGAAGCTAGACAAGTTTTTGTACTTCTACTACTTCATATTCATGTGCTTTTCCTACTTCTCAATGAACGGAATGATGATGGTTGCACTAACTCCTAACCATCAAATTGCTGCAATTGTTTTATCTTTCTTCACAAGCTTCTGGAACTTGTTCTCTGGTTTCCTCATTTCCAGGCCGGTATGTCATTTGAAACTCAGTCATTCTTCTTATTTTCTTGTCTGAGAATGTTAAACAGATGTTCAAATTTCTAAGGAACACAGTTCGAGGAGTCGTCTTAATTTATCATTGCAACCATAATAACAATTTATGCTTAATTTTGCAGCTAATCCCAGTGTGGTGGAGGTGGTACTACTGGGGATCTCCAATTGCTTGGACAATCTATGGCATCTTTGCATCTCAATTTGGTGACATTAAGACCGTTATTGATACTCCTCGAGGACCACAGAGAGTGGATCTATACCTTAAGGAAAATCTAGGTTATGAACATGACTTTTTAAGACCTGTGTTCTTCGCTCATATAGGTTGGGTCCTTCTCTTCTTCTTTGTCCTTGCCTATGGTATCAAGTTCCTTAACTTCCAAAAGAGATAAACTACTTCACTCTGCAGCTGAGCTGAGTGACCTTCAGGAAGTCAAATAGATTGTTGAGGGTAAAATTAGCATAGTAGTGATCTTCAGGACAGCTTTTTCCCTATTAATTTGAAAATACTGGTTATGCTCTTCATTATCACTTGAGTGCCAAACTATTGCAGAATATACAAACAGTACTTGAATTCTATAATCTGGTCTTCATTAAGTGCCAAACTATTGCATAATATACATTAGATTTTGGTTGATAAGGATTGATACTGAGATTGCCATCCAATCAACCAAACAGAAAAAAAACAGATTTTGACCTAAGCTACCGGAAAACATAAATTTACAGAAGACTAGAAATTAAGATTTAACTCTGAATGAGGCTGATGTTGTGGTTGCTAGACTAGAAATTAAGATTTAACTCTGAATGAGGCTGATGTTGTGGTTGCTAGACTAGAAATTAAGATTTAACTCTGAATGAGGCTGATGTTGTGGTACTTGTAGCAACATGGTTTCAAGAGGCGCCAAAAAATCACTCAAGTCATTGTCATCATCTTCTTGCATCAAACCAATCGCACAATCAGTCAACAGCAACCAAATGTCATCATCAGTAATAGACATACTTGGCCCAACATTAACAACATCAGGCCCATCAATTTTCAAACCCTCCGTACTGGAGACGCCATTATGATTAGTACTCTGAGGGTGCAGATCATCTTCCATTACACCATTATCAATTTGATCTTCATCACCCAATACCCAACTGAGAAAATCATAAATAGTATCCACAGTTGGCTCATAATCATCAAGATTATCACAAAACTGCATATCATCTTCCATCAAACCAATCTCACAATCACTCAATAGCAACTTCATATCATCATCACTAATTTCCACACTTGGCACAGAAGGTGGTTGCGGCTGCAGCTGCTCTTGTGGTTCTTCTGGCAATTCAAGATCATAAAGTTGCAGATAATCTTCCATTAAACCAACATCATTATGATCATCATTACCCAATACCAAACTGAGATAATCATTTGCATCCACAGTTGGCTCATGAATTGATGAAAGATAATCTTGCTGAAATTGACCAATTAAATTGGGTTTGGGTGTGGGTATGACGACATTACCTGGATCAAGATTCAAATTAATCTGACCAATTAAATTGGGTTTGGGTGTGGGTATGACGAGATCACCTGGATCAAGATTTAAATTAATCTCACCAATTAAATTGGGTTTGGGTGTGGGTATGACGAGATCAGTTGGATGAAGATTCAAATTAAGATTTAGAGATGATTGTTGTTGTTGATCTGCTGCATCTGGTTCCATGATATTCTTGTACAAGTCCATGAAACTGCGCTTACCGTCATCCCTCATCATCATCATCTTCATCGTCACAGCTCCGATCCTCTCATTCAAAGACTCCAACTTGGCCCCCAAGCAATTATCTTGAATACCCAAATCCCGATTTTCTCCATCATCAACAAATTCCAAGAAACCCTTTTCGACAGAGAACAGACCCTTTTCAATTTGATCTTTGAAACCCCTCTTCAGATTCTTGTACTTGAGTAGAACTGATTTCAAATCTTGTTGGTTTTCCGGCCAATCGTTGATCTCGCCGTCGGCACCAAGAGCGATCATGTAAACGGCAATATCGCACAGCTTCGAGAGTCGGCCGGCCTTATTCTTCAGAGTGGAGCCTCTCTTGGCCATGGCAGTTTTCCGAGGCTTCATAGCATCAGAGACCCTTTTCATCTTCATGGACACTGAAACCCTAGGGTTTGATTTAGGAAGAGCCATAAATCAATAAATCAATTTCGAGTGGAAATTAATTGAAAAACAGAGAGATTAGCAATGTAGTCAGTGCGATTAATTAGCGACTGATCAAAACTTGTAGAGAATGGCAGTGAAAGGTAGCGAACGTAGGGATCGTGAGAAATGAGAGAGTGTGAGCGAGGAAGGTGAGAGTATGGCGGTATTTATAGAATCTGTGACCGAGGGTATAGTTGGTATTACAAGGAAAGTAACCGTTACGCGGAAAGTAGTACATCATCACAGATCACACTATCGGTATTACAATAAATACAGTATTTTATTGTCTTATTTTATTCTGCAGAGTTTTGTTTTTTTCCTCTTTGCAATTGAATAATTTGTTTGTAGCTTTCTTTTTGCTTAACAATTTGTTTGTCGATTCAATAGAAGTTGCTCATACTGTAAATAACTCATAAACTTTCTAAATCTGCGGCTGGAAGTATAGAATGTATATCACTACATTTTCATGAGGCATATCTACAAATTTTTTATTTTTTTCAGATATAGGTTACTCTTTACACTTTTTCTGATATAGAATTCATGTTTATCCTATTGATGATGCATCTATCTCTACTACATATTACAATATTATTTGTCTAATGCTAATGGTAATAGTAATGCAAGGCGGAACTAGGAATTTTTCAACGATTGGGCTAGTTAAAGTTATTAGCTTAAAGAATTAATATAAGTAGATGATCTTAATTAAAGGGTTATGTGTGAGTGTTTGTTTGAAATATTCTGAAATATAAAGATGATCTACTTATAACTATGGACAAGTTCTCTTCTGAAATATAAAGTTTCTGAAAATATTTGTAATAACACAATAACTAAGATTAATAACTAAGGACAAAGCAGATAAGGAATTGAACAGAACAAGAACAGAGACAAACAAACAACATGCAGTTTTCATTATGTCCAAATATAGCTTTTAGGATCACACTTGATAAGAAATTCAAACATAACAAGAAGAAAATTACAGATAAAAACTAAAACTTAATAGGCTGCTGCTCCTGTGTTACATTGTTTCAAGAGGGGCCAAAAAATGGCTCAGGTCATCATCACAAAACTGCAAATCATCTTGCATCAAACCAATCTCACAATCACTCAAAAGCAACCTCAAATCATCATCACTAGTAATAGTATCCATACTTTGCACAGAAATTGTTTGCTGCTCCAGCTGTTGTGGTTCTTCTAGCAACATTGTGTCAAGATCATAGAGTCGCAAATCATCTTCCATTACAGCAATATCGTTATGATGATCACCACCCAATACCCAACTGAGAAAATCATCAAGAGTATCAACCGTTGGCTCATAATCATCAAATTCGAAACCCTTACAGGGTAGTTGTTGATCTGCTGCTTCCGGTTCCACAGAACTCTCCACGATCCTCATCTTCCTCATAACCGCTCCAATCCTTTCATTCAAAGCCTCTAACTTGGACTCCAAGCAATCATCTTGAATACCCAAATCCCAATTTTTTCGATCCTCAACAATTTCCAAGAAACCCTTTTCAATTTGACCTTTCAAAACCCTCCTCAGCTTAGAGAGTTCGTTGGTCTTCTTCTTCCTCAGGGCGGAGCATCTCTTGGCCATGGCCGTTTTCAGAGGCTTCCTAGCATCAGCAACCCTCTTCATCTTCATGGCTTCTGATTTCTTAGGGTTTGATTTAGGAAGAGCCATTGATGAATTAATTAATCAATTTCGAGTTGAAATTAATTAAATTACCAGAGAGATTAGAGATGCTGCAAGTGATGATTAATAACCAGACGATCAAAAACTCAGACAAATTTAACTGTTGTGGAAAGTAGTGAATATCGATGGTGATGAGATGAGACAGTCACAGAGAGCTATAGCGGCATTTATAGACTTTGAGATTAAGGGCATAATGGATATTATACCATACTCCTTCCAACGGGAAAGCAGCTGTTAGCCATAAGGGAGTAATGACCAGTCTGTCCTCTCCTTATCCTTAATTCATAAATTGATTTTGTACAGCTAACAAGTAAATGAGAAACTCAATTGGACAACTAACACGTTTTTAATTTATTTCTCTTCCATTTTTTTTTCTTTGTAAGAAAGGACAATTTGTTATATTTATTCTGAACAAATTTTCAAAGGAAAATCACAGTAAATGCAAATGATACATATATAAATTTGTAATCCTATGTTTACGATGGTTTAATGTTTGTCTCTTAAAATGAGCTTATTTGTGGAAAGCCCATAAGTCAAGCCATTATGTTCGATCTTAGTGAATATTCAGTACTTGAAATGTGCTTAATGATTACGATTGGTCAATATTTATCATTGAGCTGAACATTGTTCTCATAAATGTATAAGTTTATGAAAATATCTGTTAATTATGTAACTGAGATTAATAACTTTAATTGGTTTTATACAGCATTAGAATGGTCGAGATTAAGGATATAAACCAAAATTAAAATATGAATTATGACAAAATTTGAAAGTTGAGAATCGCCAAGTGATCATCCTCAGCTTTCATTGGCTCCGTCGGTGACTTCATCACAACAATAAACTTAAGAGATTTTGACCCCCAAAAAAGAAAAAGCTCTTTTTACAGAAATAATTCATATCACTTTTCTATTTTATTTTTATTTTAAAAAGAGACAATTTTTTACCTTTGATTAAATCAATTTTTATATGCATAGCAAACTCTATTAAGAAATAGCTAGTGTTAAACTTAGGGGTGGGCACGGTTCGGTTTGGACCGGTTCTTGGAGAAAAATGGAACCTGATCCAATAGTGCAATCCGGTTCGGTTTGGACCGGTTCTGCTCAATATCCATACAGAAATCCGAACCAAACCGGACCTGTCCGGTTTCGGTTCGAATCCAACGGTTCCGGGTTTTTTTTTTTTTTTTTTTTTTTTTAAAAAAAAAAAAAAAAACCCCAAAAAAAATTTTATATAAAAAAAAACCACACATTAAA